ACACTTGATGCTACAGAATTTCGATTGAAAGCGTTTTAATTTGGACAAATTATTTTTTATTTTGAAAATTTTACAATTCTTTTGTATTCACAGCTAACTTTTTGCTTTAAAATTAGAAATTTGTACTTCAGATGCTGTTGTAAATATTTAGTTGCAGTTATTAACTGAGTGCCGCCTGCTATCTTCCCTCTCTTTTCTTACATCAACACTTTCATTACGCAATCTCAACATCCGCAAAAAGATGTGGTACTTGACACCCACTCAGTTAACCGTTTGATATGTGCCAGTGTCTCTCTCTCTCTCTGTTTTTACCTAGCTTGAATATATTATTATACGCACTCAGGAGATGGTAAATGCTTATAATTATACCATAATTATTATATACTTTTATCCTCCATTTTCTTTACAATTTAACTTATAGATTTTAAATCAAAACATAACGCGTGAAACATAAGAGTTCATATGATATTTTAGATTAAATACATAAAACTAATAGCAATAGATGTTTAATTTATACATATTTTTTGTTTATTTCTTTGATTATGTTTATTTATTTATTCAATTAATGAATGAATTCAATGAATTCTACAATTTATATTATTGACAAAATATAATGTTTGGGCCTTTTGTCTTTGACAAAAATTATAAATTTTTATTATTGAACTTTTTTTCCTTTCTGAAACTGTTAAGTAATGTTTAAAAAATAATTGAGTGAGTTTTTACACGGGTCATAAAGATAGATATAAGATAGGATATTTAACAAGCGATAGTCTCGTAAGGTAGACATGTCACTTTGAATCCGCTTCTTTGCTAGGTTTTTATCAAGATTGTGCATATGCTCTAATTGCCATTTTCTCCGATGTTTATCAAAATCAATTTATCAAAATGTCATTGATTCTCTTACTAAAAAAACATTTCAATCGCTATACGTTCCCAATTTTTCTCGCTAAAATAGGCTGCAATCTTATTAAAACTCATTTTAAAATATTTCTTTTTTACACTTAAACGAAATCATACTATTCAATTCATGCTAGTCCAAAGCCCAGAATATCTGGTATCGAACCACTCTTTTTCTACACATCTATTTGGACGGTAATCCAATTCATCTTAAATTTCATAGAGCACACATGTCATTTTTTATTTAAAAAATATGTTAATTTTTACTGTATTCATTGATCACAAAAAAAAAAAAAAAAAGTTTATGCATCAAAATAATACAAATCCTTTTATGTATCCAAATCAGTCTCATCCACAGCACAACATTCTGATTTCAAAACGGAAAAATGTATCAAAGTCCTTAGTAATTTATTTTACTAAAACGTTGTTAATGAATTTTTTTAATAAATAGGCAGTTTATACAGGGTGTTTCGTAATTGCACGGCATTATTTTAGGTATGTGTTCACTAACACAAGATAAACAAAAAAATTTCATATTAGCATATATCTCAAACTCATTTATTTAACAGATATCAAAGGTTAAAGATTTATTATTTATTTATTATTATAATAACATTTAGAGTAACTGTTCAAAGGGGCTTCCGTTTTGTGGAATGCAACATTCAGCACGACTAATCCATACTTCTCTGGCTCTTCGTATAGCATCAGGATGGTGCTTAATAGTTACTGCGGCTTCCACGATCCGATTTCTAAGCTCTCTTGCTTGCCAATTGCCGCAGAATAAACCATAGACTTCATCCAATCCCATACAAAATAATCTAATAGCATTTAAGTATTAAACACGTTAAACTTTGTACAGCTAGTCTTAATGTAATAAATAAATAATAAATCTTTAACCTTAATATCTGTTTAATAAATGAGTTTGAGATATATGTTAATATGAACTTTTTTGTTTATTTTGTTTAAGTGTTAGGTTGTTTACACATACCTAAAATAGTGCCGTGTAATTACGAAACACCATGTATATACACATATGATTATTTTTAATATTTGAACTTTTACATCCAAATTATTACGCATGTTCTTATGATACATATTAGAAGGATAAAAAAAGTGAAAAATCAATTGACAAGCAATTTTTTTTATTATAATTACATCTTTAACGAGACTTATAGAAGTGACAGTCAATAGAAATTAGCAAGTACGATAAATATGTACATGAATATAACAAATGTACACCAAGACCGACACACGGGTCTTTATAACATCTTCAAATATAAAATGAAGCTTGAAGCAAAACATGCAAAAAGTACACTTTATAACAGTAAAAAACATTCTTACATATCAATATTTTAGTTATTAATATTGATTTACAGTTATCAATCATATATATTTTTTAGTTAAACGTAGAGAAAACAAATCTTACTATTAGACCTTAATCCTATAATTTTAAAAATTAACTATGTACTCTAAAACCTGTTCCTTAAAACTAATACAATCACGTAATTACTCTAATAGTATATGCTATATAATTATACAAATATAATAATTATTATAAAAGTATTCAAATTATATTTGAATAATTTTTAATACTTTTAAAAAGAATTTAGTTTTGTATACCATTACATGTAATATTGCATATAATCATAATTAAAATACATTTAAACATAATTATAATACATTTCGAACCTATTAATAATAAAATTACCAAATAATTCATGAAAATATTTTTGTCATTTAAAGAAATGGGTCCTTGTCGGAGATATGCAAATACTACTTCGAGTACCATTTATTTTGCCTAAATATTGTCCACATTCTGAGTACCAAGAACATTTATCACTAATTCATTCAATCGTCATTCAAGAACTGAAGTAGTGATTAAGTTCATGACAACGATCAAATTTGAGAAAAATACTTGGTATTTTGTACTCTGAGTAGTTTTGGCCTAAATATTCTTCTCAGAAACAGTTTTGTTTTTAATTTTAATACTTTTTGTTAATGTATAATTAATACTTTATTACTTAACAAATTCCAATGTAGCCTATATAAGAAGTGAACAATATAGTGAATTATGAGGTAACTGGCCTACGTTAATTTTCACACTCCACGTTAATCCATGACAATCTGGAGGCCAGGGTATTGTATATATTTCTTATTATTATCGCTTAAATTCGGTTACTTTTTCCTTCTAGGTAACTGCACGAAATTGTTGCATAATTGTAACTGCTTCTGCGTCTGTCAATGGGTGACAGAATAACTTTCGCCTTTAAAAAAGTTTTAAAGAACCGAGAATATTTACATAATAAAACAATAGGGTTTTTGAAAACAGAAGTTACAAAATTATTACGGCTTTATTTTGGGGTTACTTATTTGATGCAAGTATTCTAAACTAATTTCGGATTGTTTTTATTCTTTTTTTAAACAATTACTTATTTATATTTATTGATTGGATTAATATTATAATTCAATATCAAAACCTTAGGTATAGATGGGAAAATACAAATCCAAAATGCTTAACACATTTTTCCTATGTACGTAAACAATTAAACATTTTTCTTCCATCTGGTAACCATGATATTACTGAAATAGCAGAAAATTAAAAATACATAAGTCATATCTGAACTTAATTGATCTTATTAAAATAAGATGGATGCTAATATAATGATTTTTGGTATTCGGATAAAAGCTAAATCAAAAGAGGGATTTATAAATAAGAGAAATTTAGAATAACTCAATATCACAATTTCCTAATAGTTAATCACATCCTGTTCTAAGTCAGGGAAATTTCGAATTTGCTTCCATGTAAAGTTACGTACATTGGACTTTATGTTTCCCATACGAAATATATTTTTGTTATATCTTTTCTCTTTATCTAAGTTATAATTATAAATCAATATTACAATTAGTGTAATGATAATAATGTTTCAAAAACACAAATATTTAGTATTCAGGTCATCAAATTTTATAGCTTATCATTAGAACAATATGATGTGCTATTTTTAAGACATTAATCTTATACGATTCCCAGTTAGTAAACCGGTATTCTATCAAATATTTATTTCTTTGTTTTGGACGCTGTTGAACATTGAGAAATAATGAAAACTTACTTAAAATACTTTACTTTCAAAACCTAATCTTTGGTATTTAACTAATATTTTTATATGATCGTTGCAATAATCAAATGATTACTTACAGATAACTTCAAACATCTTAAATGATGTTAGTCACTCATTAATAAAATTAAATGTATCGGAATTGGTATATTAGTAAAAATATATAATCGTGAAATAAACATACACCTAAAAAACAATAACAATAGGAACTAATAAAACGATAAACAATATTAACAACTTAGGAACTAACCATCAACATCGACTAGTTTATACAATAAACGACACGCTATGTAATTGTTACATATTTATATATAATACGCGTTTCATATTTTAAAAAATAAAATCAAAATTATAAATTTACATTAAAAAAACGAATGAAGAATATAAAAATCATTAACAGCTAAATGTGTACATATTTATATAAGATACCTCTCACTTGTATCTACCCTCAACCCATAAGTAAATTGCAAATATCACGTGATTTTTAAAAATAGTTATTTTCAGGCGATCTCCCAGCAGGATTCAAGGAATTTTTTTGTATTATTTTGATTAAATAATTTTAAAAAATAATGAAAGTTATGAGGAATTTGATTCAGTTAGTAGCTTGATAAAGATGTATAAATAAAGCTATGAAAAACATTTCAAAAATAATATCAGAACTACAAATGAATTATATGTCAGCCTTTTGCTAAAAATTAGGGTATTAATAATTTCGAATATTCTGTTAGATACCTTATTTAAAAATGGAATGGTGGGACCTGCAAATTTTTTTTACTAACTACTGGTAGTTAACACTAGAAATTGTTTAAATTTACTACATATGCATTGAAAAAAAGAAAACAAAAAATAATCGAAAAAAAAAAAACATTTCAAACGAATTATAACATTTAACGAAATTGAAATATAACGAGTGAGTTTTTTAGTCAAATCCGTAAGATAAACCAGTCAAAGAATCGAACTTGGGTAAGGTTCCATAAATTCTCTGCGAATTTAGTAATCCGCAGGCGCTTCAGAACTCTCCGGAACGTACTCGGCAGGAGTATACTCAGGAGTGTACTCCGGTCTGTACTCTGGAACGTACTCTGGAGGGTTGTTCACTGGTGGGACGATTTCTGGAGCGTACTCAGGAAGAACTGATGGTGGAGGGTAGGAGGCGCTGCCTACCGGGGGCTTCCTGTGTACGGTGGCCTGGAATCCGTTCTCGGGATCAGCAGTGTAGACAACTGTACGGACGGTGCCGTCAGGTTCCACGACGGAGTACTGGCCTCGCACGGTGTCTCCGTCCCGAGTCTCTTCATGCTTCTGGGTGTTGCCCGTTTCAGGGTCATTGACGCCGTAGCCAAAGGAATAGTCCGGTTTCGCCTGAAACAGTTGATAAGTTTATGTTATTATGTTATACCACTTACATTTTGCCAAATTTCTAAAAAGAAAAATACAAAATTTCTATTAAATATTAAGTGAAACAAATAACCCTGTTGTTAATATGTTTCTTATCTTCTTCATTTTTGACCTATTCATTTGTTTTGATCCAATCTTATAAAAGCACTAAATACATCCTGTATAAATGAATTAATAAAAAATTATGTAAATGGAAACTAAGACTAATTAACAATATTTTTATTTATTAAAATCGATATTTTTTTTTCCGGAAAAAATATAATATGTCAAAAAACTGGGAACGAGCTAAACTCAATTAAAAAAACCAACATCAAACACTAACTAAAATTGGAAAGCACTATTGTAAAATCACGTTTACCTTTTTTTTCCCATCGACATGATTATTTTCCAATTAGCCAGGTAACCTACACAAAACCCTTTATAAGTAAAAGTTTATTGGCTTCATCTATACCTCGGTTAGTTATTAATATTGCTTATATTTCTTTATTATTTCCCTCTGTCCACTACTTCTTCTGGCTTTCTTCGGTGTCTATTATTCAATAACTTATAACACCCTTATGTTGCCTGCCATAAAAGCTCGAAATAATTCTGTGCATCCTCCAGTGTGTAGGTTATAGCTAAATAACTTTAAATACAGGCTTACACGACTAACGTGCTTCATCGAAATCTTTAAATAAATTCAATTTGATCAACAAACAACAGTGTAAACGATGAAATTGAAGTTAAAAAAAAAATATTTTTAATTTTTTTGCAAATATAAAATAAAAGGACTGTGAGATCAAAAAGGGTTTTGATAGATAAATAATCATATTTAGATTAAATATTATAAATATTCGTTTTCAAAATTTGCCTATTTTTGTCTCCCTCATACACCATCATATGCATTACAATCAAAGTTGTATAAAAAAGGCTGAATAACAAAGCTGTATTTATTAATTGTCTGTTTTATTTATGTGAATATTCGTAAATTTTAATCAGCAATATAATTTTTTTGTATTATCTATGTCCTATTTTGGTACTATTTTAGATATTATTCATCACATAAACATTATGTAATGGCTATTTATAATTTTCTAAAGATGGGGACCCTATTTGCTACAGTTTATCATTTATCCAATTGTACTCATTTCCTCATATCTAGATCTAAAATAATATCTTATTTAATAAAGCATTAAATTAAACTATGTATAAATAATTATTTAAACATATGAATATATTTTTGTAAATATCCTAAAACAATTCCAACGTTAAAAATGTTTGAGCGATGTTCCAATTTCACCTTATATTTCTTTTTACCCGTCTGTTGAGAGCATTTAAAATTAATTTTAATAGGTCATCATACCTAATGAAAGTTTTCAATTGTCCAGATCTCGAGAAAAGAAATCTATACAATGAAATACAAAAACTATTTTGAAAGGCTCCTTCATACAAGGAATACTTCATGATGGTTTATTGCACAACATCATTCAAGAGACGATCCACCATATCCACGGAATTCCACTATTACAGAAGGCGTTATTCCACCGATTTGACACAGAACGGTATAGCACTGACACAAAATGACTGCCGGATATGTGTTTGCCAGAGGCTTAGGTAAGACAAGCATCGCGATACAGTGGGCTCTGATTTCCGGTCAGTTCGCTACAGTATAATATTCTTCTATATAATACAGTCTACGGGAAGGCAGTATATCTAACTGTCTCAACCGATATTTCATGGATTGATAAGAAAATAATGATGGCACATACAATCATTTTTTTTTCTAATCTTGTTTTACTTCCTCAATTGAAGTGTTGGCCGAATAAAGATTTATGTTACGTTTTTTTGGGAAATCCGGCTTGTAACCTGAATTAGATTCAGTATAGATTCAATTACACTTTATTTCCGTAAATTCATAATAATTCATTCGGTATAAAAGATCAACGGAGGGGCGTGAAGGCCGACTTATGGAAGATAATTGCATAAAATAACTGGGAGTTCGCATCCCTGTGCCGAAGAGGCGTTTAACTCTGACGTTAATCCCTCGCCCTCACCCCCAGGTCCTGGAAAACTCCTTATAGTCTTAAAGGTGAGGAAGGAGAGGACAAAAAAAAGAATAATAAAAAGATCGACACTACGGTACTTTTGACAAACGGATTACGATTTTACTTTTACTGATCAGTAAATAAAAAACATATACAAAAAGAAAATATATACAGCTGAATCTTCCAATCATATGTAGTAAATAATGTGTACCTAAGAAACAGAATTTTTTTTCCATAATTAATCTGATTTAATATTTTGTCCAAAATTTAAATTTAAATACACATAATTTTGTTTTTCTTTTTTTTTTTAATTCATAATTATATTTACAACTTTATTAAAAATGTAGATTTAGTAAATTTGAACATATGGATATAATGACTTGAAAACACTTGTTGAGAAGCTACCCAATAGTAGCACTCTAATGATATGTCTACATTAGGAGATCACGGAGCCATCTTCTTTTCAGACGCCTCGGAGTGTTATCAGGAATTGAAGAGGAAGCAAGGCTAGAAACGAGAGGGTGGGGATGATTCTTAAGGTTATTATGGAAGAAGGGGTATCTGGATTGGGTCAGATCTGAAACATAAGAAGCATCAAGGTCATTATGGATGGTTTTATTTGTAACAGAGTAGGGAGCATTGAGGAAATAAAAATTTAAAATATATTCTGTTAACGTCATCATTATTAGTCATGGACAATCGCTCTTAACAATGGAATATTTTATAATGAAACTAATCAGTTTGTGCGGTTAGTTGGCACTCTTATGGAATGTAAAAAATGTTTCAGCCTTGGAACCGGACGAAAGTATTTGAAGCTTTTTTAGTTTTTATCGCCGATTTCAGAGGTATTCAACATGAAGTGGAGTCCGTTCATTAACCCGCTACCATTCCGAAAACTTTTGCAATATCTTTGATATGACAGTACATTTTCATGATCCTGAATATTCTGAGTGAGGTTAATTTTCATATAAATTATTAAAAGGATTATTACAATATTAATAAAATGTCAATGATGAACCACATCGAAATTTATTAGCAAACTTAAATTAAACGTGACCCCCATACCAGACTGAAACGACTAGAAACCGCCCGACGTTTTCGACTACTGCAGCACTTACTAGACAAACGCTCTATGCTTTCAATCAATTACAAACGACTCATATATATGACAATAATAAGACCTATTTGGACTAACGGAATTGAGCTTTGGGGCTCCACTAAACCATCCGAATCCTCTCGTTCCAAACCTTGCTTCCTCATCGATCCCTGATAACCCTTCGAGGCGCCTGAAAAGAAGATGGCCTTGGGACCTTCTAATACAGAACTTTAATTTGAGTTCTACCAATGGGTAGTTTCTCTTCATGTTGTACATGTCATGTTACCAATGTCACATTTACTTGTTGTATTTCCATGTAATACAGTTGTAAATTTCATTAAAATAAAAAAATTAAACGTGCACTATTTATTGCTGTATACGATTCCATTAAATACTTAATCATTCATTAACATAATCTATTTTTTAAAAAATTAAAATAAGTTTACTGCGTCAAGGTAATTTTCACATGAGAAAGTAAATTCCCCCCTCAAGACATAATGTTTACATTTTTACTACTTTTCTTATTTACCTTTTAATAGATTCTTTAAATTTCTTATAGAAGATTGTTTCACAATTACTTAAATTCTCATATTTAATGTTTTGACAAAAATTTACGGTGACATAGTCATATCATAGTTAAAAATTGTTTTGTAGTTGTTATAAGTTGGAAAAATCAATCAAGGATACCTAATTCATCAGACATTAGCGAGGTGTAGAGCGAGTATTGGATAACTGACAATCGTGTATCCACCAAAAAATATTAATTCCTGTATGTTATTAATATTAACGCACAGAAACAACAAAAAGTTTAAAGGAAGGAGATGGTCCGGGGTTGCGATCATAAAAAGGCTAAATAGAGGTAAAACTATTTAGCCTTTTTATGACCGCAACCCCGGACCATCTCCTTCCTTTATAATGCAACGGTCAACTATTAAATATTCAACAAAAATATGCATTTAGATGCAAATAAAACAATATTGTAATTAAATCAGATAATACTATGAAGTTAGCAATGGTAAAAATAGTCATAGAATAATTAGAAATAATAAAACTAATGAACAAAAAAATATTTTTGTACTAAACTCAACCAAACGAAAGCAGTCTTTTTATTGCAACTATTATCGGTGAAATCACTGTTAACAACGAAAACTGATAACTGATAATTGAAACTCTCAAGATATCAGAGTTTCGATTTATTTCACAAGATGTCGAGATTTGTAGTCGGATTATCCCGTTAAAAAACTAAAAAGATTATAGGTTTAATATAGTTTGTCCACAAACTTTGAGACTCGGACTTTTGTTTGGTTAACTGCCTGTTATTGAAGACCGAGCTATGAAAGAGTGGGGAAGAGGGAGGAATTTGAAGAGTAGAAGAACTGGAGAAAATGGGAAGATTAGAGAATTGTTGATGAAGATATTTGTTATACGACAAGTTTTAATTCAAAATCTTCCGTGGCTTAATTTTCGCCGTTTAAATGCATCCATTCTTTGTTGGTAATTGAAGTCAAACAATCCAGATCTAATTCAGCCATTGTAGCTATTTTTAAAATTCGGATAGATAGAGGGGTTCCCAGGGTTATGAATTTTCAGAGTAATGAACAAGAGTAACACCTGGAACTGACCACAGCAAATGTATTTATATATCATCTACGATTTTTCTAATTCTACCTTAGCTTGCTCCTTTTTTATGAAAGTGAGCAATGAAATGTCTTGGGGGAAGAGGGAGGTATGTTCTTGCGCCATTGACCTTGGGGAGGATGGGCACCCCTTCCCCTCTCCCTCCCTTCCACTCCTCCTCGGATGGGTAGTATAATTTTTAGTTTATAAGGATTTGGTTGGGTTTA